TTGTTTTGTTTTTACAAATATCTCCATCACTAGGCACTTGGAAATCTTATCCACAAACCCTCCAATCACAAGCCTCAACAGTGTGTTTTGCCTAATGCTCAACAGGGGATGTCCCCACCTACCTACTTCCTGGCACTGCAATAATAAAGTTTTAGTCCCAGTTCTCTCCCTGCTTCTACTTGAGCGACCCCATGTGACCCTGTGTGGCATACAGTCCTCCTACCCTCTGGGGAACTTCAAAGGCAGTTGTCTCTGTGTCATCTTACTATACTAATTAAAATAAATCCCAGGTTAAAATAAATACACTAAGCGTATTATTCAAAACTTTCCTTTCCCAACACTGCACTTCTCTGAATCCTTCAAATACTTAATGTCACTAGTTTTAGCACTGCTTAAAGGTAAAGTGAGGTATGGGAAAATTTTCACGAGTTTGAGCAAACATCTATGGGAATCAGGCAGCACCAAACTGAAAATGCTACAGGCACTCCACCAGCAGGAGCTAAGGGACTAAAGAAAGGCTTTATAAAGCAGAGCAAGGAAATTCTTTGCTTGGCTATAGCTTAAGTGGTTGCCTTATTTGAGGAAGCTTAATTGACTATTTGTGATTAGTTGTTCTTAAGTTTCAATTTCTTAACCTGAGGCATTTACTGGTATCGACTCTGGCTTAGGTTTGGTTTGCTTATGTAGGATGCAAGGCATTAGAGCCACCTTTTAAATTACTTGAACAGCACCAGTACTCTCTCTTGTATATGCATACATATGCTGGACCATACTGGAGAGAGAACACTAGAAAAGCAAAACCTCTGTTCTTGTGGAATTTATACTCTAGGAGTTATAGGTGGTAAGGAAAGTGAGGAAACTTATCTTTTGTCTCATTTGAATCCCTCACTTTTCTTACCAGTGTTTCACAAATGCTAATGTTCAATAATATTTGCTGAACGAGGAATGACATTTTCCTTAAGCATCAGGAGCCATCTTCTCTAACCTTTATTATTGAATAGTGGCTTATAGTTAGTTAAGATACTTTCAGTATGCTTATCTCACTTGATGAAGACCATGAAGTAGACCACTGTTGAATGGTAACAGTAATTCAAGCAGTTGAACTTGACTGGATGAATAGCTGTACTCACCAATCATCAGTTTATGAACCAGGAAGTGGGCCCTCACCAGACACTGAATCTGCTGGTGCCTTAATCACGGACTTCCCAGACTCCAGAACTGTAAGAAATAAATTTCCATTGTTTATAAGCTACCGAGTCTATGGTAATTTTGTTTTAGTGGCCCAAATGGATTAAAACACCATGTAAGAAGAAATTGTGGGCCAAGGCTCTAAAAAGGTAATCAGTTGCTATCCCACTGGGAATTTAAACCAAGTCCTAGAAATTGGCTCTAAATCTTCAGTCTACATCTCTTGCAACTAAGTAATTGATGTGTATTTTAAGTATAGTATGTACCATCTTATAAAGAATGATAGAAATTTGAATTTTTTCCTAGGATGTCTCTTTCTTACCTATCTAGGTAAAAAAATGAAATTATCTGTTTAGGTAAATGCTACTATTACACAGTAAACATTCATCTATCCTTTTTTTCTGTCTTTCACATTTCTGCTTTTTTAACATAGCCCTATGTTGGGAAAATTTCCTGAAGTGTACTAAAATCAACCTCTAAGGGTCTGAGAGGCTGAAGAAAGAAACTGACAGTTCCAAAATTAAAGTTTATTAGGGGAACTTACAGACAGAAGCAGAGACTCGAGTCGCAGCAAGAGAGTGAAATCTTCACACCCAAAAGCAGATGCAGCTTCATATATACAGAGCCTCCTAGAGCACAGGTGACTCGTAGCCAAGTGTCACGTGCTCATTAAGTAGGTAGTTTATAGCTAAGTAACACGTGCTTGTTAAGCAGGTGGCTTGTAGCCAAGTGGCTGGTGCTTGTAAAGCACTGTATACTCTAAAGCAGTGAACAACTTAATTAGCCTACTGTTCTATGTAAGAACATTCTTTTCAGGTGCTGTGGGCCCACTCCTCCCAGGGTGAACTGATGATTACTGAGAGCAACTTGCTTCTTAAGATGGCATTAGTCAGGTCAAGCACTAGAAACCAATTTTCCTAACACCCTTGTTTTGTTCACCTTCCCCAGGTTGTCAGTGTCCTTCAGGAGATGCTGGCCTCTCCTCAGCTGTGAGATATGAATCTCGATTGGCATAAGTCCATCCTGGAGGTCTCACCCACATGCCAAACCGCCACACCTGCCATTGGTGATAGGCATAGACAGTTGAAGCAATGTAACATAATGAGATATGAGGGGAAATCTGCTGGGCTAAGAGGCTTTCTATGGTCTTAAAAGAGGGTAGAAGATAAGGGTGCTCCCTTTTTCTGCTTCTGGATATCATCTGTAATCTGAACTGAGACAGCTGTTTTAGGACCATAAGGGAAGGGAGACTGGAGAACAAGCCAAGACGCGAAAAGATGGCAGAGCAAAAATAGGGAAGGAACCTGGTTCCTTGACAATGTCATCAAGCCATGGAAATTAACCAACCCTGGGAATGGCCCTACCTTCATATGTCTAGCTATGTGGGATTAAATTAAAAAAAAAGCTTAATCAGTAAGAACATTTTGTAAGGTTTCCTACTCCCACAGTTGAAAGTATTCCTTCTCTCTTTCAACAGTTCCACTCCTAAGTAATAGGCTTCTCAATATAACAAAAGGTCGAGCAGACTGGATGCAAAGATAACTGCTAAAATTTTCTCCTGTGTTCAAGTTGCTCTTCCCATTAAAAAGTGAAGTCTCTTTCCCTTCCCACCAATCTACTCTTTCTGCCAATAGAATTCAGCGAAAGAAACACAATGCCAGTTCCAGACCTAGGCCTTAAGAGAACTAGCATCTTCCCCTCCTCCTTCCCTCTCTTGGAAGCCAGCTGCCACCTAAGAAAGCTTAGGCTAAACTCCTGAGTGAGAGACTGCGTGGAGAGAGGCCTTATGGAGGAGGCTCGACAAAGGCAGCACCAAGAGCACAGCGATGGGAGTGAAGACACACTGCCGCCTCATAAAGCAGACCCTGGCCATGCCCACTAAGCCCGGCCTGCATTGCTGACCACAGAATCGGGGGCAGCAGAACACCTGCTGCTTTTATCTCCAAGTCCCACTTGGTCACTAGGCAGCAACAGGTAACTGAAACACAAGGTAATATTATCTGTTCTCTTGCTGTGTAAAATTGCCAGTCATTTGACAATGATTAAGAATGATCTAGTAAGTCACTAATAGCTCTGCCTGCTAACGAATTTTCCCCCCAAATATGTGTCTTTTCATTGTCTTCACAAAGGAGGATTTGTTTTCATGTGTGTGTCGCCTTGTACGAACATTTTAAAAATAAATACAAGTAAAAGGAGAAATGTTTGCAACAGATGAATTGATATCCTTAGCAAGTAAAAGCTCTCACACATGACAAGAAAAATAGTGACACCTCAATTTTTAAAACAGGGAAAAGTCATTTCTTTGAAGAACCATATAGGGTCAATAAACATGAGAGGGAAATACCTTACTCTCAAGCTAACTAGTTTAAAACAACATGACACATCATTTTTCACCTACTAAATGGTCAAAGGGTGTGGCTCAGCGGCTGAGCATCCACCTAGGATCCAGGAGATCCCGGTTCAATTCCCAGTCAGGGCACAGGCCCAGGTTGCGAGCTGCAGCGGATCAATGACTCTCTCATCACTGATGTTTCTAAAATCTCTCTCTCTCTCTCCTCCCTTCCTCTCTCGGAAATCAATAAAGATGTATTTTTTTAAAAAATTAATTTAAATCCTAAGATTTCATGCCAGCTAGGGTCCGGTGAAAAATGGGAAAGCCCCAGGTGAGAGGGGCGGAGTCTGGGAAGGCGGGTCCTGGGACCGCGGGGGCTTCGGGGTGACCCCAAGCTGCTCGGCTCTGGACAGTGCCCGCGGCCGTGACCTGGGACAGTACCGCTGCGGCACAGAGGAGCCGTGTACAGGGCTGTTACTTCCCGTTCAGCCTGTTTCTCCGCGTGTTTACTTTTGTCAGAGATCCTGGGAGAGCGCGAGAAATACAGCAAAATACCGGTACGTTTCTGAGACGTCGCCGGTGGGACGAATCGGGAGTGACGTGTCGCCGAGTCCGACGGGCCGAGGTGGAGGA